ATTGAATTTTGAGCTTTTAATTCATATTTTCTTTAGTTTTTCTGTTTGGTTCCTCATGAAATTTGGGGATATTGGTAAGCAAAGTTTTCAACTTTGTTAGTGAAAGGTGATGGAAGCGGTTGCAGACTAAAGTAATGTTTTGGGGATTTTAAGAGTAATCTTGCATCTCATTGAATGAGTGGATCTTTCTATTAAACAGTTTACCCTTTTATGTTTTCATGTAAAAGGTTATTTTTGATGTAAACTGCCTCATTGAGTTATTGTTAGCTGTGCTTTGTTACATTATGTTTGGTATCTTGGTTTTATGCTATTGATTCATGGTTGGGGTTAGTGTGGCCAAAGTCAGGATAACCTCTTTTTTTTTTTTTTTTTTTTTTTTCTTTTTTTCTTTTTTTTTTTGGAAAAAAAATTCATGAATGGGGATTCAAAATTTGAGTTGTGATTCAAAATTTATGTCTTTTCGATATCTTGGTTGGACACTTTGTTTCTTTCATAGCATCACGAGCTCTTGGATATGTAACATGGTTCTCACATTGTGCTATTGTTAATCCCAGGGAGAATGCCATTGTCCTGGAGGAGAAGGAGAAGAGGGAAAAGGAACTATTAAGCCAAATAATTGAAGCAGCAGAGCATTACAAAGTTGAGTTTCATAAAAAGAGGGAGATAACCTGTGAGAACAACAAAGTCAGTAACAGGGAAAAGGAGAAGGTACCATTGAGATATTCTTCTTCTTTTTCTTTTTCTTTTGCTTTTAAAATGATGCTTTTCTTTAGCTGTGTGGGTGCAAAACATGTAATGTTATGCCCTGTACCAGTTTCAAAACAGTGGGTCAAAATGTTTTGTTGTTCTGATCAAACATCAGTGCTTTTAACCTGAGTTGGTATTGTATGGTATACTTTGAGGTGGAGAAGTGATCCTAGAATGGCTTTAAATATAATGTGAGATTGGAGAAAAGTTTGGTTAAGTAATTTGCTGAATTCATGTCCCCAAATGAGTAGCATGTAGAATACATTATTCAGAAGTAGAGTCACTGTTTCTAGGATTAATTGAATTAAACCAAGTAAAGGTTTCATCATTAGGAAATAAAACTGTCTCCAGTCATGCCTTCTGGTTCTGCTCAGACCACTCAGACTTGTAGCAATGTTGTATGTAGTTTTCTAATAATGTGTCTTTCTTGGATGTTAGGTATTTGTAGCCAACCTTGAGGAGTTCCATGTCGAGGCTGATAAGGATTACTGGAAATCAATTGTGGAGCTTATTCCTAAAGAGGTACCAGCAATAGAGAAGAAGAGAGGGAAGAAGGATCACGAGAAGAAACCGTCCATTGTTGTGGTTCAAGGCCCCAAGCCTGGGAAGCCAACCGATCTTACAAGGATGCGGCAGATACTCTTGAAACTGAAGCAGAACACACCTCCCCACCTGATGCAGTCTCCACCACCAGCACCAGAAGCCGCAAAAGATGCTAAAACAAGTACAGCTTCTGCTTCTCCGGCTGCCCCTGTCACAACCACTCCTGAGGCAGTAGTTGCTGCTTAGCTTAATTTTGATATCTGTGTTCTTTTTGAGTCAAGGGAGTATGTGCAAGATAGAATTAGAACCGTCATGATATTCAGTCATTTGTCTGCCTCAGAATTAGTGTATGAAGTTATGAATTGCTATATCCTTTGTAGTACTCTCATTGGTTAATACATTCACTTACAGACTAAACATTAAATTTACTCATGTTCATTTTGGTTTTTTCAGTGTCGACAATTTTCTTTTCTTTTACATTTTTAAGGAAATGCCTATAACCGAAAGCCCAATGGCTGAAGAAAAACAGTACTAAGCCTCAAAATTTCTTTTACTCCTTGCTTGGGCTGGTGGACTTCTTTTCATCCCAGTATATGGAATTATGGATTAGCTCTGTACATGGACCTTGTGTTAAAGGCTTAAAGGCCACCGGTATTCGTTAGGGCAGAACCGTAGTTTTCTAGAAACGGCCGAGTGTTCAGACAATTTAACACCAAAAATGATATCCAATGTGACAGATAGTGTAAACCTACTATGATTAGTTGTTTTCATTTACTTCTACTCTTGATGTCATATATATATATATATATATATATATACTTTAATTTATTTGAGTTAAGATCTATTTAAAAATAATTCTTATATATTATACTTATATTAAAATTTAATCATTTATTTTTTTAATGGATGAGATTTATTTTCTTCTCATCACATTTATTTAAAATAATTATTTTTTAATTTTAAAAATATAATAAATCTTAATTATTAAAAATAAAAATATAAAAAATCAAAATTTTATATAAATATAATATATAAAGGGTATGTATAAGAGAATCTTAACTTACTTTATAATTTTAACTAAGATTGTAACTATATTATTTCCATTTGAGAAAACTTGATTTGGTATGGGCCTTTGGGTGGAATTGAAGTAGTTAATCAGTTAAAATTTAGACACCATCCTACTGTCTAAATTGTAGCATGTGGAAAATATTATTTTATTTTGTTTTATTAAATTTTTCAATATTTAGAAATCACATTAAATTATAACTAATTTAAATTCGAGTTATATTAAGGGGGTTCAGTTTTCAAATGTTTCAGTTTTTTAAATACTATTCATGTTTTATAAATTAAATTTTTTTTAAAAAACTTACATTTTTTAACTTTTTTTAATCTTAAAAAAATCTTAAACAGTAAATTTTAAAAAGTTTCAACTTTTGCTTATTGAAAGTTTCCTTTTTACCCACTTTTTACTCTTTCTAAAAGCAAACTTCTAAATTTTCTCTACTAATAAAAATTTAAACTTATGAAACATGAATAGTATAAAAAAAACTGAAACACTTATAAGTTTCATCAAACATGCTCTAAATCACATAAAAAAAAAAAAAACTCTCTCAACACTTATTTCTCCATTTAAAAAATACAAACTGAAAATTTTATTTAAGAAAAATCGAATTCCATCTCCTCATTATTAGCACTATGCTGTTATTTATACAAAGGGTTTGACCTCTATCTCCATTTGTCCCAGTACTTTATTATTTTCTCTGCAGTTCTTATCTTGACAAAGGCGACTGCTTTTTCTCTATTATTATGGTCTTTCAATTGATATTTCAATAACACAGCTGTACCTGTTGGATTATCAAGCAAATTGGAATCTGAACATGCTGCTCACATGCTTGAAGCTGCAGTGAATATGACTCGACAAGGAGGTAGTGCCATGGACAGAAATGCCACTCGAAAAAACGATTCCATTAGCTTTCAAATTTTCTCTCTTTTTTTAAAGAAGAAAAATTCAATCCAATCAGGAACTTAGGGTATGGGGAATGGGGTATGTTGATCACATGTTTTTTTATGGCAAACATTCAAACTTTGAAAGCTACTTCACAACAATTTGCCGTGTTGAAGATGAAAAGGGGAGATGTTCGGCATCTAACAGATTTCCCTAATAATACAAAGACTTTCAATTACATAACAGTGATCAAATCTCATTAGCTTTACATGAAATATCAGAGGCGTGAACCCTGGTGGTTCCTCCTGGAAATTGGTTCTCTTCCAACTGTCAAGGCTTGTAGGTTTAAAACAATAATGTATGGAGAATTGTTGGGAAAGCAGTTTAAATTTTTAGCGTGTAAATTCCGGACCATCACCTGCCATGCATGCTAGCAGGAGACTGATTATCCTTCTCGCTTCCATTATCATCTTCTACTTCAGTGGCTTCTAAACAGAGACCGTTGTTATTAACACTAACTTCAGAACTAGCATTACTGCTCGTGGCAAGAGGGGAATCTGAAACACTAACAGTTCTACTTCGTGTTGGACCTGACCTCACACTGTACATAGAGGATGCTGGAATATTTGTCATCAATGGCCGCAAATTACCAGGAATGCTTCGCCTTATATCCTGCTCAAGACAAAATAGAAAACAAAATGAGATGAGCATGTTAAATTAATGAAGGTTTTTAATTTTCAGCCATCTCTCAATTTCTAAATGAACTTCAGAATCCAGACTCCAAAAGAAGAAATACATTTATACAACAGGGAAGAAAAATTATCTTTAATGAATATGATCATATTCTCAGTCATTTGTAATCAGTGTTTCTTTGCCTATACAGCATCTATCATAGATTTTCTTGATGTACTATATCCCTTTATCAATGAATCTATAGTTATTTGATCCAAATATATATATATATATCAGGTAGATGTAAGCAAATGGCCGAATCCATGAATGGAAATCAAAACCATTTCAAGCACCATCAACATGAATAGAGGAATTGGATTTATGACCCTACTCAAAGGCCAAAGCAATAAGAAGACAGTGCCACTAAATTTGAGGTACTTACCATGTGCCTTATAGCCATATCCAATGATTTCTTCGAAAGTGTTCTTCCAAAACCTGAACTATCTGGGGAAGAAGACTTTCCAGACAGGTTACCATGAGGAGAATGTTTGTCATCTTGTTTGGGTGGTACCAACTTTCGCATGTTTATTACCCTCTCAACCATTTTAGTTCCAATTACAACAGGGCTCACATTGTCAGTAATCTTAGAGTACCCACGACTTACTGCAGGAACAGAGCTCCCACTAGTATGCATAGAACCATTGGGGGCTCGTCCTCTTGAAGGAGAACATGATTGTCGCCGTATTCTCCCAGGAGGACCTGGCTCAACAGAAGCAGACCGAGAACTAGGTGCTCCAGGCCTACCCCTAGTGGCTGAAAGTGGCCTTTCAGGTAGTGATGTCCTTAAATTTGGTGGAGCGTTAAGGGAGAAACCAGGCATCTCAGAAGGTTTCCAAGGTCTGGATTTCACTGTTGGAGAAGCACTGCGTGATGGCACAGAATTTCTGCATACAGCGGGACTTGGCTTGCCAACTGCAGGTGAAGATTTTACAGGAGCAGATATATTCGGAGCACTTGATGGGGTGGACGGTCGACGGCTTGGCGTAGCTGCCCTTGATATGGGCTTCGATGGAGGTATGGAGGGTCTTGCAGTTGGCGTTGAAGACCTACCAGTAGACCTTGATGGTGTGGAGGACCGGCTAGGAACTGTTGACTTGGTTGCAGATGAAGTAGGTGATGCAGGCTTGGTTGCCGAAACTATGGGCTTGGCTGTGATAACAGTGGACCGAGTCATAGTAGCTGATGACTTAGTTGTGGAAACTGTGAGCTTATTTGCAGGAACTGAGGGCTTGGTTGATGGCAACGTGGCTCTAGAAGTAGGTGTTGATGATCTTGAGGGTTTAGATGCTCCAGTTAGTGTTGGGCGCCCGGTAGGTGTTGCAGGTCTTGAACCTGGACCCCCCGATGATGAGGGCCTTCTAGTCCCTACACCAGAAGAATTCAACCCAGGGGATGAAGCAGGTTGTTTTGATACGCCCCTTGTGGCTGGCTCTGGCTGGGGATTTGCTAACTACAACATCAGACAAAAATCACTTGGTAACATGAGATCATTTATCCAAACATCAATAAAACCTAGAGGTCCTGGAATGAAAACATGTAAACAACCACAGATGTTGACGGGGATTCAATAACATCTCTTTAGATTTTAATAATTCCAAAAGCCCTGTCGAGTGCTTATGACTAGTAGATTTGCCAAGTTACAAGATACTGTTTTTGCATTGTAACAGCAGGTCCACACACGTAGGGATAGGGTAGATGGATGGATTTCAACAGTTTCAAGTTACAAAGAACACTGACAGTCAGGCATGTTGCCATGTTGGTTCCTGAACCCCAATAGAGCTTTGTTGTTATTAATTTTTATAATAGATAGTTATATATAATACACTAGAAATGGCAATAGAGAACTATTAAATTTCACTGCCTCCTGACACCTAAAACATTGGTCAAAACAGTCTGATGTTACTATTTCTACCACTTACTCTGCCATGAATTTAAGTGACAACAACTTTTCAAAGTAAGGTGCATTATCCAGCTCAAAATATTAGGAAGATTTCCTTACCCTAGATTTCAGAGCAGTAGGGCGAGCCTTTGGGGTACCAATCTGATTCATAATGGTCTTTTGGGATTCCATCTCCAAAGAAGGAAAGAGAGGAGTACCAGGAGGTGTTAGAAGCCTGAAAAATGGAAAAACTCCGATTACTATCATCATCTTATAGGTAGTCAAGTTACTTCCTACCACAAATGAGAGAAAAATAAACAGGTAAATCTAGTACAATGATAAGATGATAACAGAAAAGCTTTAACAGAACCCAGCAAAAAGTTCATGTGACCATAAAATTGAGCCTCCAAAGGTCATAAGCATGTTTGAAGCGTGACCACTAATAGAGGCTAAAGCAGGTGGACCAGACGTAAGTTAAGAAACGCAGACACTGACCTGCTATCTTACATGGAATTCACTTTATCCCAAGAAAACAGTGTCCAACACTGGTTTAACACCTTGAATCAATAGTTACTCACTCACTCACGGTTCTCAACTAAAACTGCAAGATATTCATCAAGGAAACCCCAAGAAGTTGTTAGGATTCCATTTCGAGGTTACCACATACAATATTCACAGGAGTATATACATTAAAAAAGCTGTAGTTGATGCTAGTGACTTCATCTACATGTTAGAGCATCCATCAGCCCATCACAATTGGCAAACATACTAACTTCCATCATTAACATGTCATAAATAATCTAACAAGCTTTTTCCTCTTCCTATTCCTTTGTCCTTTGCAGCTTCACGATTCCAATCAAGATATCTATGGTCTTAATCAAGGGATAGATGGACATAACGGCCAACATAAAACACTGAAAACTACAAATTAGAAAGACATTAAATTAAATAAACTAGACAAGATAATCCCAAATTACCAGTCATAGTCATTCTTATCGCTATCTGAATTGAGAAAATCATCAGCACCAGCCTTTCGAACAGCTGTTGTTGATGATGAAATGTTAAATATAGGTGAAGTGCCAGGTTTTGAACCTGCAATATCCAAATTACCAGATGAGGAAGACAACACAACTAAAATAGGATCCAAAATTTACACCAAATACAAACCCATCAAAAATGCCATTTTAGCAACAACTTTCACTAAACGGATAGATAGAAGCATCAAATATAAATCGTTATATCACAAGTTGCGCACTGCATCAAACCATAACATCTTAAACGTAAAATAGTCCAAAAAAACGAAGAAAATCGAAAAAAATGCATCACCTAATGGAGCGTCAAACTCTTCAGAGTTATTGAAGAGAAGGTTACTCTGCTCTTTCTCGCGCTTTCGCATCTCAAGGAACAACGCTAGCTCCTCCTCCTTCTCCTTCATCATCGACGCCCTCAGCTGCTGCCTCTGCTTCAAAGCCGCAGCTTGCATTTGCATCTCTTGAGCCCTGAAGCTTCGATTCATCGCTCAAATCGACAGATCAAAACGATTTCAAAAGCCTAGAGCTAACTTCACTTCGCATTCGCAACTCCAACACCACCACCAACTACAAACACATCATCAAGAAGCATCTCCTTAACCATAAATAGCAAGTATTAGATCTGAATCGAGCTTGAAGCCGGAGACCTCCAAACACGAACCAGTAGTTCCAGGCTCCGAAGAGAGAAGTCTAACTCCGGCGAAACCGCATTGTAGCAGACGAGAAGTGAGAGAGAGAGAGAGGGAGCGAAATCACAGTGGAGAGAGAGAGAGTGGCAGCAAGTGTAATTACGGAGTGGATTGGGGGTGTCAAATGAGGACGGTGCGGATTTTCTTATGTGACTGTTCCACTGCAAGACCGAGCAGCGGTCCGTTATTTATTTATTTATTTCCAACTGTTTTTTCTTTCTTTTTCCTTTTTATTTTTAACGATTTTGGTAAAAGTTTTTCTTTTATCTTTTTATACGGATTAATATATCAATTAAATAATTAATTCATTTAATTCATGTAAAATTCATAATATTAAATATATTTACTTATTTATTGATATATAAAAATTATATAAAAAATTATCCTTATAATATCTTTATTTTTTTTAGTTTTAATGAAGTCTTTGCAGATTTACCCTCTAACTCTTCTCTTTATTTTATTTTGTTCAACTTCTTTTATTCTTATTTTATAAGACCCTTTATTTATTTATATGGAAGAAAATAGGATTCACTAATATTTATATAAGTATTACACTTATACTGTATAATGGATAAATAAAATTTTGACTTCAAAACAAAGTTCATAAGGAATTTAAATGTTTAACAGTACTCTTCAAAGATTGATGATGAATTTTGTATCAATATTTGATTAAGTTGTAAATCAAAAGGAAAAAATAAAATAAACATAGAAAAAAAATATATGGATAAGATTGTAAATAAGTCTCTTCTTTTTTTTTTTCAAAATGTTGAATATTTCTCAAAAAAAAAAGTAAAATACAATATACATTAAAGGTCATTTTTTCTTTACAATAAAAGACATTATAAATGTATGCAATACAGATTGAATTAGTTATTTACTTAAGCACAATGCACATGAATTAAGAAAAAATTTGAAAACGTTCTCTATTCATAGGAATTGACCACACAATCTTGAGATTATCTAAAAAAAAAAAAAAAAATCTTCAGATTGTGGCCTTAGCCTCAAGGGCTGTGGAGGGCTTTAATTTTTTGGTAATAAGTACCAGTACATATATCTATATGTGTGTATATATATATAAATAGTAACTATCAACCTTACCTCCTAACAATTAAGAAGAAAATCATCTCAAAATTACGTTGTTTCAATAAATTTTTATTGAAAAAGACTAAACTACCCTATTTTTTAAAACATGCATTAAGTTGATTTTTATCCTTTTTCCTCCTAACTTTTTAGAGGTAAGGCAGACAAGCACTAACCCCTATATATGTATATTTTTTTTTTTTGCATACTTTGCATTTTTATTTGGGGTTAGTACTTGTCCACTTTACCTCCAAAAAATTAAAAGGAAAAAGGACAAAAATCACCTTAATGCATGCTTTAAAAATAAGGTAGTTTAGTTTTTTTTGATAAAAATTTATTAAAACAATGTAATTTTGAGATAATTTTATTCATAATCTTTAATAAATAAGGTTGAAAGGCACTTTTCCCTTTTTATTTTGCTATGCAATTACTAGGATGGCAGATTAAGAGTTAAGTCCACACTCCACAGCTCCAGGCCCATATGAGAAAATGAGGAGAGTGGCTGAATTCAGTGATGTGAATTGGACCGGAGTTCTCTTTGATATGCGGAATTGTTTGTTGGGCTTAGTTTAGGCCCATTAAAAATGTCTAGTGCAGCTTACCCAAAAAAATTGACATAATTGGTTAAAGTTCTAGGTTAAGGCCCATTTTGGAAAAATGAGGAGGAATGAGCCCGAATAGCTGAATTCAGTCCGGCTTTACGATTTGCTGAATTGTTTGATGGACTTAGTTTAGACCCATCAAAATGCCATGTGCGGCTCTCGGATTACGGAATTGACCTCGGAGTACCAGGACACGAGGCCAGGAAATACAGGAGGACGGACTTAAATGAAAATTTCAAAAACGTTTATTATAAGGTAAAAAATATAACAAAATTAAATAATTAAATAGATTTTTTAATAAAAAATTAAAAAAAAATACTTTTTTTTCATTATAAAAACGATAAATATAATTTTTCCTATGAGAATCGGGCCGGGCCCAATAGAAAGCCCATTAAAGGAATAAACGATCTCTGTACATTCGGAGTCTCGTTTGTTGTTCCTTGTGAGATAGGGAAGAGAAGGCCGCATTTCTGTGA